TAAGCGACATATACGAAATACGAAATAGGAAATACGAAACACGAAATACGAAACACGAAATATTTCAAACAAAAATGTAGGAAAGCGTTTTACATATCGAAACAGAGCTTTGCAGTATTATTAACGATACGTAGCTTCCTGATCTAGCTATTTTTGCATTGCAAAACGATGCCGGAAAATTCTTGGAAATTTAAATGATAATGTTTTTGGTTTTATTATCAAATATCGTATGTCATGGAATGCTGGTATTTGTGATATTTATGACCTTTTGCATTATTTAGCCAATGATATTCGATATCTGTGGGCGATTGTAAAAAAACCGTTGTTTTTTTAAATCGCGTTTTCAACATGTCACGCTATCGGCGGTTTACGTGGGCCAAATTCGAAAGTTTATAATATCTTTCCTCAATTTTCTAATCAATTATTTAAATACAATTTTATATTATAGTATTTGATATTAAATTAAAACCTTCAATTAAGTTTACACAATGTACGAATTGAAATAACTTATTTAAATAATGAAAAAGAAATTAAGTCGACTGTCTATCCGCAATTAGCATCGATTTATATAAGAAACGGTATTTTTATTAAAATTTAGATGATGTATGGACAGAATTGTCTTTTAAAATTCATCCTAAAAAATATTATATTGTACCACTATTATATTTTCAGAGTAAAAATTTTAAAAGAAATCTCTCCGTGTGAAATTCATTATGAAATTGCAGGTGGATCGGATGGAAAAGGAGGAAGGGCAGGTAGAGGGTGGTCTGGTGCAGTCTTCCGGTGGTGCCTCTGGTTCGAGGATGGGTCCCGGACCTGATTCCGGCAGTAGCGCTCCCTCTTCGGTTCCCCAGTCGCTGGTTACCTCGAGGGACGATGAGGACGATGAGGATGAGGAGAGTAGTGATAAGCGGTCTAATTGCCACGGAGGATCAAGGTTAGTTATTTTTTATGCTACCTTGCACCTTGACCATAATCCTGATTTTAGCCCTTAGCATTTCGATACACAAATCGAAAGATGGTTTCGCATTATAGATTATATGGAATAAATTACATATTATTTAAATTAAATATATCAAATATATAAATCTCTAATTACGGTACATAAATATGTAAACGTAAATTAAAATCGATATCGTTAAAAGATTGCTAGTGCGGAAACTAGCGATTCTCCTTTCCTCCAATTTGATATGAACGCTGTTTCCACATCGGATATATCGGTTAACGATTTGACGTTAATCTCATTAAGCATAAACTTGTCAACGTGTACGTTCTGTTACATATGAGTAGACACATAATTATATTTGTCACGTAATTTAGCTTGAGATCAAAGTTTATGGAATAAATACGGCTTCGTTCAATAACAAATTTTTATTTTCTTTTGTATGGAACTACACAGAAATTAAAACAAATTACATAATTGATAAATATGCATAACGTACACGTTGCACGAAGAATATCAGTTATTAATCGCTGCATTTATAAAAAAAAATGATTGAAAGAAACACGCAAATTTGTCCATACACATGCGCATTTATTCGGAGATAGCTACTTTATGTTTCTCATTTACGCAGGAGATAACTACTCTATATTGCCTGTCTCTTTGTGCAATTAATTAATTGCACACTAATTTAAGCGTATCAATCAGCTGCACTGATTTAGGTGTCCAATCAAGGAGATCCATTTAATTTCTATAATTTTGATGTGTGATCGGGTATAGAGAGAGATTTTGCAAATAGAGACGAACCGCTGCTGCTTTTTACGTGAACTGCGAGGAGAGAAATGGCAAAGAGAAAAATTTTACAGGTGCATCTCTGCGAAAGAGATAGGTTCATAGAAAATTAGATAACGCTGAACCTGATACAAGATTCTCTTTTACCCATTTTCCTCGACATTTTCCTCTCTTTACTCACGAAAGAGCGACGGCCGTTCCAGTTAACAGCAGCACACTGTATAATCTTGGAACTGGTTTGTCTCTTGGTACGCGTGTCGCCTTGGTTCGAATTTAAAATAATTCGCATGTTGAGAATGCAGAAAAACTCGCTAAATTTTGTCGTTTAAATTTCTAAATATAATATATTAATATTTAATTTCTTTACTATTATTATGCGAGCGTTCCTCAAATTTCATCGTGATTGTGACGATAGTCAATTGTGGCTGTGGTGCATTTTCTGCGATTTTTGTGCCTTGTGCAAACTATAATATTTTGAAAATTTTATTCGATACTGGGCTTACGTTTGATCCCAGTCATGGCGAGAGTGCTCTAAGTACCGATTTTGCTTTCAACGCGTATTAACATCCAATATTTATCAATACCTGAATACGACAATTTGCATTGTAATATACAATATTTATCTAGAATATTTTAGGATGTAACAGATAAATTGTGTCAACGTTACAGCTTAAAAATCAATACAAATTTTCTTTTCCCACGTTATGTCCAGCGGATTCCCGTGACTCTTTTTTTTTTGTGGAGATCTGGAGTTCGTCTGAATATAAAGACAGTTAAGAGTGACAGATAAATTGAACCGTTACATCTTAAAAAGCAATAAAAATTTTCTTCTCCTATGACAATCTAAAGTAAAGACTCCAGTATCTTCTCGTAAATGTCAACTCAAGATAAATTAAAAATTGGTGCACGTATGCAAACGGCGGGATTAAAGAGATGCCGATGATGTCCTCCTTGGACACAGCGACTAAAAAAAAAAATGGTCGAAGCGAAGTGCCTCTCGGTTTGCGTCGCTTCTTCCTCACAGCAGTCCAGAGTTTGAACGCGACCAAATCGATCAAAATTCGGTTCCTGCTGCGTTTACTCTCTCAGCCATGCGTGCGGAGCCTGGACGTAACAATAATGGGAAATGTCGGTTTTAACTCTCTGACAATATTGCACATTGTTTCAAATTTTATTAACATTCTTCGTTTTAAATTTACTATTAAATTCTTTTACTCGCAATCATCTCAAGCGGATAAAAAAATATTGTCAATGGTGAAAGGAAAATTAACTTGTTCTTATTTATTACTGTCTTTCTTATTATAATCTCTCTGTTTGCTTTAATTTTACGGTTTTCTGATGAAACGAGTTCTAGGAAATTTTGTAAAATTTATTTTGAAAATTACACTTTATACCTCTGAAGTAGAAAAGTAAAACTGATTGTGAGTAGTATTTCATTCTAAGACGAAAATAAGCACTGTATTCTAAAGTCGTGTACAATCGTTCTCGGCAAAGCAGGTTTTACGAGCATTTGGCAAGCGTGTCGTATTTGTGTAAATTCCTCATTTCTTGATATTAAGAATGTAATTCATTGTCGATGTTATCTCTGTTCTGCTGGAAAATATCACGAACTTATTTCCAGTTTTTTAAAGACGTTTCGTCTTGCATATACGCTTCTTCCAACAGTTCCAACGAACTTTCCACGATTATGGTGGAGTATGGATGATCACGTAATCTAACGAGTACTTGAGTTTTGATTAAAAATCACCGCTGGCATGCACTTCACGTTCTCTCGGGCGGAAAATGCGCGAACGGCATTCGTAGCGAGATGGTTACATAGTTTGCTGGAGATGCACGAATGTACTCGATTTACGGTCTCCACACTTGGATTAAAAAATAAATAACTTCGGTTTACGATATCGTACAAAAATTAGAAATATCATAATGTAATGCGAATCTAACAAATCCAATATCTTTCTAGAACATCATAGAGTTGCATAAGCGACTCAAAAAGTCATCATTCTGTATATTACATTATAATATTTTAAATACGTTAATAACAATATAAAATATATGATTCATCATTTAAAAGAAGATGAGAAAGAGAATTAAAGTTACAAATTTCTAATTGTAAGTTATAAGATCTCTCATTATCGCGTGATATCTGCCTTAATCTCATTATGTAAGCTTTCTCTCATTGAAAGCAGATTTTCTCATTGAAAGCAGATTTTCTCATTGAAATACGTCTTCATCCGAGGAAAAAATTCAGCCTCGCGATAAAGGTACTTTATTTGATACTGGTTTATTTGATATCTCCGCGAGACGCGACAATATTACAATGTTTGCTGCGATCGCGCGATACTGCTTCGAGACATAATTCTTGTAAGTTTCGGAAGAAAATCTCTCACGTTTTGCATCCAAGCGAAAATGGGTCGTGTCTCCATCTCCGTCGAACGCAAGAGCTGTAATTGGCCCGAGAATAATAATCCACGTTGGGGAGATCACCGGATCGGCGTTATTAGAGCCGCACTAATGTCATTACAGTAAACCTGGTCAGCGCATCGATATACAAAAAACGTTATCTTGTTGCGATATTCTCTAGCATCGTCATCTCAGTTTCGCTCTTTAGTCTTTTTTCGATTAATTATGAAATTTCAGAATCGGTACGTATTGCAATGCGGAAAGCTAAAATTGAATTTGATCGAATTTAGTTCTACCCTTCTTTTAATATTTTTATTCAGGATTTTGTAAAAATATCCTAAAGTCTCCAAAATGAAAAAATGTGGAAATATAGAAATTATACTATTATATAATATTAATTCATTCCGTATAGACAAAAATGGTTAAGTAATTTTTATTTTACAGGACTAGTAAAAATATTTTAGCTGTTTTTGTTGAAATTATGATAAACTGTACTTGCCTAAAATTAAAAATACCAGAAGCAGAAAGTAAAAATTACAATTATAATAAATTAATTTTAAGTAATTGTATCTTACAGTATATATAAAGTAAATCATGTTATTCACAAAACTGTAAGCGAACAACTCTCAGGACTTTATACACTTATTATTATATCACGCAGTAAAGTAAATTTTATCAAACACTAAAGCAAAAAATATTTGTCGATAAAGTAAATTCTATTGAAATGTATGGTAATTTATAGATTAATAAATACATAGCATAAAATTTACTCCACGAAATGTAAATATCTTACATCTATACGATGATCGCTCATTTATCAAAAAAGTGAAATAAATTTCACATTTATAAGTGGAGATGATGCCTGTCCCTATATGGACCTGCCAATTCCATTTTTAATTCCACTTTAATATTGCAACAAAAAACATAAGCTTTTCTTTTCTTATCCTCCTTTTCTTCTTCCTCCTCCTCCTCTTGCTTCTCTTCTTTCTTCTCCTCCTCTTTTTCCTCTTCCTCCTCCCTTCTCTCTCTCTCTCTCTCTCTCTCTCTCTCTTTCTCTCTGTTCTAAGTTTGATGCGCATGGCGGAGTAAAATATTTACGCTGCCCATTTTGTTTCATTATTTCTGCTATTGCTAATTAATTTAAAGTCTCCTCAAGTAATAACGCAATCTGCAGTTTCTTTTACAAGAACTTAACGAGGAAGGAGAGAGAAGAATTGATCCATATTTAATTTTAATTTGCTTAAGCTAAAATGGAGATAAACGAAAAGATTTATCCAGTTTTCCCGCTAATTACATGTAAAAAAATTATGCAAAAAAATACGCTTGCACGTACTCCCGCTTCGTACTCGTCATTGTTTCCTACGTTCCTTCTGTTTCTTCCGTAATGATTATCATGGTCAAATGATAGATTTGAAAAGGATACACGAGGAATTCGCATGAACAAGGGGAGAGGTTATCATCGGAAAATCAGACTTGATTTCGAGGGTCTCATTGTCATAATTTGTATTATAAATTTTGACAAATGCTCTGATCTTTCGCTAGTCAGTAACAAAGGATCTTTCCACGAAACATGTGATTAAAGTTTCGACAACACATACAGGAGTATTCAAGCCAAAACTTTCTATTAGATAAGGTGCACTACATGTATAATATCGGTTAAAATCGCTTGTAGATATATAGGTCGATTTTCAGCTTACGTTCTCAGCCAAATTGCTCTTTTGTGGGAGAGTGCTTACTGTATCGCGACTAAGCACGCGAGATTCTTTGTCCGTTCAAATTAATGTAGAAACGGGTGAAGTTGAATT